CGCTGCTGCTGAGTCGGGGCTGCGGGTCGCGGCGCGCCTCTCCTCTGGGGCGGCGGCCGAGGACAGCAGCGCCATGGAGGAGCTCGCCACCGAGAAGGAGGCGGAGGAGAGCCACCGGCAGGACAGCGTGAGCCTGCTCACCCTTCATCCTTGCTGCTCACGCTCACCATCCTCACCATCTGGCTCTTCAAGCACCGCCGGGTGCGCTTCCTGCACGAGACCGGGCTGGCCATGATCTACGGTGAGCACCCCCCGCCGAGCCCCGTGCACCCCGGCACCCCTCGGGCGGCCCGGCCCGCGGCGCGACCCCTCCCTGGGCTCCCCTTCACTCGCAACGTGTTTCGTTCCGTTTCCCGCGGAGACGGTGTGGGTTCCCAAGGTCAACTGTCTGCATGTGTTGGGTCTCTGTGACCGTTAAAAAGAACCCCACCCCGTTTCGACGTCTCTTCATGGGGAACCAGGAAAAGGGAAGGCACGGAGGGGGCCTGGTTCTGTTCCCCGGGTGCTGGCTTGCCCCCGCCCCCCATCGCGACCCGGACCCCCGATCCCCCAGTTCGGCTCAGCAGGGTGTGTGTGACCTGGCAGGAGGGGGTGACTTCGCCAGGGACCGCGCCACCCCAGGAGTCAGGCCACAGTGAGGGTGGGGGCGAGGGCTGAGGGCTTGGCTTGGTAGGGGCTGCTGGGGCCTGGTGGATGCCACGTCCATGGTCGACCTGTCTGGGCGTCCACTGCTGAGATCTGTGTTTCTCTGGTGAATAAAGTGGGAACATGAAGCGCCCAGAAAGGTGAGTGCGGGTCAGGACCCGGAGCGGTGCTCAGACACGTCCGCACGCCTTTCACCCTTGGGTCCAGGAGGGAACTTATACCCAGTTCCTTGCCCTCTCCAGGCGGAGAGGAGCTTTTGTTTTCCTCAGATCGTAACAGGGACACGACTTTGAAGAAACGTTTGTGAATGTATGAAGAGGAAAAGTAGTGGTTTTCATTCCGGAGTCAGCCTTCTTTTGTTGTGAAGGGTGGGCTGATGCCACCATGCTTTTCTGGATTGAATGGCACATGGTGTGTCACCTGCACAGAGGCCCTTACAAATCTCCTGTCATTACATTGGTGTCATTTAGCCATAATTCGAATTATCTTCCCCCTCTCCCCCCACCCCCGAAAATGCTCCCTGACTGCGCCCTCTCCATGACTCCAAACTGGAACCAAGTATTCTCATTTTGAATTTAATTCAGTAGAGTTAAAGCCCACGTGAGCGTCCTCATGTGAAATAAATGAGCCCACTTTACAACTGTTCCCAATAGGCAGCATTTGACTTTATCACTTATACTGGAGAGATCTCTCCACTCAATTTCCATTCAGGAGAGAATGGAAAGCAGACACCTTAATCTTTAATGTGAAAATTACCCTTGGCCCTGGGCCTTGATTGGTTCTTGATTGGTTGACAGCCCAAGGTTGCGAAGTGCTGTGGGGAGTCCTGGACTTTTCACGGGGTATTGGCCTCCACAGATCTTGAATTGAAACAGGACCACGTCCAAAACTGAGTTTGGTTGTTGCAAATTACAGGTATAATCTTTGGCCTGGATGCCTGGTCATTCTTGAGCTCTGTGGTTTGTGTCAGTTGGTGACAAATGTTTGAAGCCAAGGCTGCAGTTAAGCTAGGGGGTTTCCTGAGCAGAGAGCGGAGTGGGGTGTTCAAGACCGTTGTCATTTCTGGCGATGGACTCTGAGCCGTAATGCAAGTAAAGATTGCCTTTATATTATGTAGCCTTGAAAATATTTTGGTTTTATAACCCCTATATCCAGTTCATTAAAGTACAATGTGAAATACTTTTAGAAGGTAGCTTGGACAGGCTCATAAATACATACTCCAGTGCATAGAAAATAAATGGGGATTAAAAAAAACATTTTCTGAGGAGTACTCCATGTTCTTAGGAGCTCAGTCACCTTTATCTTAAGGCTTAGAAACAGCAGTGGAATTTTCCTTTGCTGATATGTACTTTTTAAACTCATCACAAGCTTTTAGTTGTTGGGGCCGTGCTACACTGTGCTGTTTCATTTCGTGTTACCAAAATCTGGTTTAATTGATGATTGTTCAGAAAAGGTGACATCATCTCATAGCATGCTGTGTAATTTTTGTACTATATCTTTGGGTTTTAGTATTACTTTGAAATGTCTTAAGAAATTTAGTTTGTCAATATATGATGTCCTGGGTTATACCAAATACTAATATTTATATATGTTTTAAAAATATTTATTTTATTGATTTCAGAGAGGAGGGGAGAGAGAGAGAGAGAGAGAGAGAGATAGAAACATCAATGATGAGAGAGAATCATTGATGGGCTGCCTTCTGCGCGGCCCCCACTGGGGATCGAGCCCACTACCCAGGCACGTGCCCGTGACCAGAATCGAACCTGGGATCCTTCAGTCCATAGGCCGATGCTCTATCCACTGAGCCAAACCAGCTAGGGCCCAAATACTAATATTTTGATGTGGTTACATGTAATTGTGAGAAAACATTTATCTCTTTTAGGGATATTTACTCTCTGTTTCAAGATGCTTCCCCAATCTGAATTCTAATGTCATTTGATTAGCTCATTATTCATTATGAACTGAAGACTGTTGTGATTCTGATAAAAAATTCAATTTGAAAATCTTTGAACACAAGTAGATGCAGTACAGATTTTTCAGGACTTCTCTTTTTTAATAGTAAGCATTCAGATTGCATTTGCTGAGATCAATAGAGGAAGTGAGTAATTGTCCTATTGCCTCTGAGTAATAAGGGACAAAACAACCCAAGGAAACTGTTGCTGCATGCTGGTGACCAACTTCATTTCTGGAGGTAAACAATTTAACTTTTGAACGTGGGCAAATTTTTATGAGTGAAAGAGTTCAACTGTGAATGTCAAAACTCTTCATTTTGAAATTTTAAAAAAAATCTAATTTCTGCCCAGCTGGTGGTGCTCAGTTGTTGAGCATCGACCTATGAACCAGGAGATCACAGTTCAATTCCTAGTCGAGGGCACATGCCCTGGTTGCAGGCTCGATCCCCGGTAGGGGTGTGCAGGAGGCAGCAGGTTGATGATTCTCTCTCATCATTGATATTTCTCTCTCTCTCCTTCTTCCTTCCTCTCTCTGAAATCAATTAAGAAAATCTAATATCTGCCACTTAAAAAAATATTTAAGTGGTACTTTAATCTGAGGGAAGGCTTTTATATATGTAGTAATGTATTAAAATGAATTGTGATAATATATATTTGCCAGTATAATCATAAAATATCTGTGGAAGGACATGCGATAGACTAAGTCACATTGGTTTCCTTGGTGGGCGGGAGAGTGGGTAGGAACTAGGTGTCTGTGACATAGAGGTGGGAGGGAGACATCAATCTATACTCTTTTGTGCTATTTGATTTTTAAACAATGGAAGTGTGTCCATGCCCTCATTCTGTGGCATTTGTGATGGTATTTTAAGATGCTCCTCAGATCATCCAATTTGATGCCCACTTCTCCCTATTTACGTCACATTATGTTGTCAGGTTCCTGTGACCTTTCAATTGTCTGTATCCATGGAGCTTCTGGAGCCCTGTTCCTGGAACTGAGACAATATGAGGGAAGGGGAAGAATTTTCCCCTCCCTCCCTCCTTCTTTTTTATCCCATTATTACCAATAAAATAGCTGATGTTACTTTAGGAGTGATGTGCACAAATAGATCCAATAACAACACTTACTTCGGTGCAGAGGACCTAAGGACAATCAGAGACAGATACCCTGTGAATGCTTACCATTGAAATGGAAAGAACTTCCCCATCGACCAAGGAAGAGTTACAAGCACTCCTTCCTGACAAAAGCCCCAGACAGACAGCTACAAGGGAAGGTGACCACAGACCAGACTCCAGGGAAGTTGAAAGCAGTGCTCCAGACCTTGCCGTGGGAGTTGCATGGCAGCAGGCAAGGCCACCAGTCTAACCTGTTTTGTCAGGGCAGGGAGCTCCCAGCTGTCTGGCTCTGTAGTGATTAAGTGCCATCCTAAAGTTACTGGGCACAGCATGTCTGTGCAGCAGAAATAGCAAGTGTTCAAGGTAGGGAGAGCTGGTATAAACACACTGCGGCAGTTCATTGTGGTTCTCTCTCATGTGTACAGTAGTTCCACTTCCCCCATAATGTTTTTGTGACAACTGATACGGCTCCAAAATATCTAAGTTGGCCACGCTAGCCTACCACCTGCTTCTTGTTTCCTCCCTGCTCCCTGCCTATCAACTTTCCAAGTCCATGGGGGTCAGCCCCTCGAGATTCTGTGGCCCGTAGGCTCATGGTTGCTTTGTTGGAGCTGGATTGCTAAGCACAGCCTGAGAGTGGGTTCATAGGCAAAGTCTGAATGGGAGAAATATGACTCTGCAGTAGCATGAAATTGACACATGACCCTGTGAGCAAACATTTTGGTACCACCTTCTTCCTGGTTAACCAGGAGCACTGGTTTTTAAAAAGAACTCATTACTTTTGGCCCTAGTTTGGGACAGCTCTGTGTGGTCTCACGGTACCAGATTGCCTGGGTTCGTTCACATGCTGGCCTGGTTACTTATAAAGCTGTGTATAACATGGCGGAAGCTTTCTGAGCCTTCATTTCCTCTTATCAGAAAGGGAGACAAGGACATCTTGCTTCCCTGCACATCATCAGTTTGGTTCAAATAAACTCATTTTAAAAAATGTAGACAATGCCACTCACCTTATAGGATCATTGCATGAAAGAGGTACTCTAAAGCTCAGGTGCAGTTTCTGGTACTTGAACACTGGTAAATATTCGTTTTCACTCTCCCTTCTGACGTTGTGATTCTTTGGTCAGCGTTGCTATTTGGGGTTGGTTCAATAGAGGCCTGCTATATAATTCGACAACGCAGTCGGATACAGTTAGGGGGATGAGGAGACCTGTCATTTTTTGGTGGGCTATTTGTTAATACCTAGAAAAAATGTACAATATAGGCACCTTAGTCTTTTATCCAGCAGACTCAATTCTTAGACTTTATTCTTCAGAAATACTGGCATTAATTAGCATGTTGTGTTACTTGCACTGCAGTATTTGTTGCAGTAGAAACAAGGATTTGCTGCAATGCCTCATGAAGAAGGGACTAGTTAAATTAAGGGAGCTGTCCATACATACTGTTGTGGAAAAAACAAGGCACAGAACAGCATGTGTAGTATTATTCTTTTATGATATATATATATATATATATATATATATATATATATATA